AAAAGTCGCAAAGGATATCTCAAACATCGTAGACGTTCGCGCTGATTAATGGTGAATTCAGCATGCAATCGTTACTTTTCATTACTGGTTCGAAGTGCAGGCCGAAGGCTGGGTTAGCGCGGTCAGATTAGAAAAGTTCCACGGAACAAGTCGAAAACCGACTTTAAAAGCATGTACCAACATTTGGTTTTAGAACCGTCCGGAGTCCGGATTGAAGGCAACTTTAAATTGGAATGTATCCCGCTATAAGCCTCTCCTGATTGGCCTGTTTGTTCTTAATTAGTATTAATCGGAAGTTTATGGGGTGAGGAACTTGCCGTATTGTAAAATATCACCTTAATTCCGGAGGTATTAAACAGCACGTGTTTTTAACGTAAGATTCTCATTTTGAACTTAATAAGATTTTATTAGAGGATAGATCTCACGTTATTATAATAATAATGTTAAAGAAATATTTGTTTCCATTATTGCGTGGAGTAATTCCGATTTTATTAAAATATTTAAGGTCATCTTAACAACAAACTACAAAACAAGTACAATTCCCTTAAACTACTGGGCAGTCGATTACACACACACAAATATTCTAAGTATCTTTTAATAAAGTAAAAATTAATTAATACTATTAAACGTAGTTAAATTTACTCTATTATAAAAGCTTAATTAACTGTTTATTATTACAATATGCTATTTTAAATATTTTGGGAGACATGAAGCTTTTTGTAAGTGATACAGAAGTTTTGCTCGATAGTTGACCTGGTATTTAGCACTCAGTTTTTATTGGTCATTTTAGGCGTAAGCTTCTTATTATTTTTGTTTATACTAAATAAAAGGTACATTTATTTGTAGATCGTCAAAGTTAATGAAAATAATGTGGCGGTCACTGTCCGGAAATTATGTAAAACAAGCTAAAAACACGGACGTGGAAATCAGCGTATTCATTTTAGAGGGAGCCCACCCTATCCATTAGTGAGTCATACTGCGGCACGGCAAACAAATCCGTGGATGCTCCTTGCATATATTTCAACTCGAAATTAAGACAGGATAAGGTCGATGACGTCGTTAAAGAATCACTGTATGGAGTATTTTTTTTATTATTAAAAAGACTTCAGGCCATCAAATAATCAGGATCATAAAGAAAGGTGTAGTCGGTCTCTAAAATTGGTTTAAAAAGTGTCAAAAAAAAGTTTCCAATTTGACAATGCTTTTATAATTAAAATACATTGATATTAATACTTCATAGATTCTATATAACTTAAAGGCTATCACAGATATTTACTGTAGCTCTATCTCGTAAATATATCTCTGTCACTATACACCACTTGCAAATGCCTGCACAAACGCCAAAGAATAACTACCATTATTATATTTGAACAATTTTGCATTCACAATGCTACACTGGGAAATATTCTTAGTGAAAACTGTTTAAGTATTTGTCCTTAAGAACATTTACTAGCATTATTTATACATCTTTCATCAGTTAGTAATAGGTCTAATAACTTTTAGAGGGATTGGTGGAAGGTGCACAATTATCTTGTAGACAAGTAATAACTGGATGTACAATAATTTTCTTTTTATTAATTTTAAGAGGGTTTTTCCTAGCAGAAATGCTTCCCCCGACGATACAACACATTATTATAGGCTTATACCTGACTCAACCATTATATACAACATTATAGCAGCAACCGATGAAGGTGCAGTCAAGATGAAATAGTAATAGTAATTTTATTTTTGCTTGAACGTGGTACAGAAAAGATCTTATATAAGTAACAGGGATCCTAATCGACACATTCACCCAATTATGGGCATGCAAAGATTTTAATATTAAAATGGCTGTTGATGTATAAAAAATATCGTATAGTTTTACACTGAAGTACATACGATTACAAAATAAATCTTACAGATGGCAAGATGAATACAATAAGAATAACATAAACAGTGAAATAATTTATGATCAGGTTGTAGAAATTTGTAACACTCTTTCAATATGATGAAGTTGATTTTATTAAATTTGAAACTAGATGTTAGTGAAAAATCAATTATCAGGGAATGCGAATTTCTCCTAAATCAATTAAATATATCGAGTCAGAAATTGGAGTAAATTGACCAATAGTTCGACGGTGGAATCTCTTAAATAAAAATATAAAACATAATCCTGTATTTATAGTGTTGCTGATTGAAATAAAATACAAATAATAACAAAAAATAATTAATTGAATTTGTTGGCACTCTTCTCAGTAATAAATATCATGTTAGAATTTCGAGTTGCCGGCATAGCTTTTTGACATTCATAAATTCTTTCTTGACATAAATTCTTCTCCTTATACTTAAATATTAATGTTATTCATACCTGAAAACCATTAAGTAAAAATGAAATAAAAAAATTAAATGATGTTTTTATTTTTTCATTTAGTTAAATGGTTTTACTTAAGAGAAACAGATAATGCCTACTGTCATTTTATTTCAGCCACCAACTTAGATTTGAAATATTTCAGATAGCAGATTATGATATAAACCGCAATTCCTTGGCGACAACTATCTTAAATTCACAAATAGTACTCTATACTATTACAAATTTTTATTTGTCTGTCCGTCAAGTAGATTTTTGTAAAATATTAAACAGCTTTTTTTTTTCAGTGAATTACGGCATTACATTAATTTGAAATATCGTACCTTTGTAAATTTTCTACATAGTATGAGGAGCAAGCCCCCACTCTAAGATTTTTTTTTATTTATTTTATACTTTATTTTACACAAAAAAAATTAGATTAGGTACTATATTTTAAGAAAGTTAAAAAGCCCTTTAATGCCTATTATATAAGCTATTTTTTATTACACTGAAGAAAAAAATACGTATCTAACATTTGTCTATTATCTGACTGACAGACTAAATACAATTTCGTTTTTTTTACTCGGGCATCATATATGGAATAATTTTGTGGGGCAATTCATGCCACACAAGTAGAGTCCACATTGCTCAAAAGGCATGCGTACGTATCATATATGACGTAGATGTTTTGGCCTCATGTATGCCTTTATTTAAGGCATTTAATATTTCGATTATTACATGTTAGTATATATTGGAAATATTTGTCTTTGTCAGGAGTCACCAAAAACTGTTTTCTAATAAATTCATACTCCTAGCAACGAGAAGAGAAATAGTCATTCGATGGCTGTAAGAGTGTATAATAAAGTGCCAAATTATATTAAAAATGGTCAATACTAACCAATTTAATTGAATACTGAAAATTTTATAATTCGCATGCCCAAACGGTTGAATGTGTTATGTGATAGTAATAAAATTAAGATTCTATTTTTATACCACATACTTGCAAAAGAAGGATTGTTATTCTTATTTCCTAATGTATCGTCATCAGAACTAAAATTAAATTTTAAATCAATCGATTAATCGTAATGAAACCGTAGAAAAATATCTGAATTAGCAATCGATTATGTGGACAATTATACATTTAACATTAAATTAAAAGCTTTGCTATGAAGCTGTGATTTGGAACTCCAGAACATTTAGGTGACTCCTTTGGTTATTTGAATGGAACGGTTCTTATCGTCTTACCTTTTATAGACTGCGAATCGAGAAGGCTTCGACGTCACAAAACGAGACCTTTCTATTGTGTGGAGGTGTTGAGTTAGCACACCAGGAACGGTCTTTCCCTTTTTACCAATAAGTAACTTTTTTCGCTGTTGTAGTAATAAATTCAATAAGAATTGCATCTTATATTTTATGTATAACAAATGAAGGTTTCTCGCAATCTTTAATATATATAACTCAAAGGTGAAATTTGGCAAACAGGTAGATGTTATGACGTAGGCATCCGCTAAGAACGGATTTTGATAAATTCCACTATATCACCAATAGGATCAAAATAGGGGATGAAACTTTATTTCAGGTATTTTACACAATATAATAGTAACTTTACCACGCGGACGCAGTCGCAGGCAATAGCTAGTTTGAATATAAAAAGAAAATAAAGAAGTTTCAAATAAAAAAAAAACACACACAACACACATTATAAATAGGAACAATGCCTTATTTTTGTTTATTTGATCATCAAGTAATTGTTGAAGAATATTTAATTTTTTTTTTGTTTTTTTTTTCGTAATCAATAAAGAAAGAAGATACATTGCGTGGAAATATCGTAGAACGTTTCATCTTTGTACTATAATGCCTATTATCTAAGCCATTTTTGTTAAACAGAAGCAAAAAATATGTATATAATCTTTTTCTATTATCTGACTGACGTACTAAGTAGATTTTTTTTTGCCTAGCTTCGTACGTGTACTAAGTATCTCTCTCTATTATTTACTTTGTATATGTAAGAATATGTACTTAAGGTACTATAATAAGCCATCTATATTGGAATCTAAAATTAACTGCAAAGAGTATGCTGCCCAAGATTTGCAGGAATGTTTCATGCGGGAATTAGTAGTTTTTTATATTTATCGTTTATTTAAAAGGACATAGAAATAACTAAAAAGGACATCTTTATGGAATGTCTTTAATAATATATTTAAAATAAATTGCTTATAAGCTTCACCAATTTCAGGCACTCCGAGACGGGACTCGAACCCTCCCATTTCACAGTCTGGGCAGTCGCCCGACTGACTGACTGACGATATCTCGAGCAGTTATTTCGCTTGTACTTCTTTTCATAATCGATTTTTATTAATATAGCATTGTGCATATTTTTAATAATATAGCAACATAAACAGTACAATTGTAAAATGCTTTGTGTGTTTTTTGTGCAACATTCAAGTATATATTAAATTACATGTATTAGCCGTTACAGAGAAAATTCTTTGGAAGCTAAATTAAAACATATAATATTATATAACAACACATATTTTTATAAATAGCTTTATTAAATTAACCACCATAACCTTGACTTTAGAACCGAAGCAACAGCATTTAAAATTATTTTTTCCAACAAATAAAAAGAAAAGAAAAAATATGTTAAACTAACTCTACACTTTCTTCTTTTCAGAAAGCCTCCGGGACTACTTTAGCAAATTCGGTGAAATCACAGAAGTAATGGTTATGAAAGATCCTACAACAAGACGGTCGAGGTATGTATATCTATATATGTAAATTGTGAAAATTAAATCAGAATAACCTTGTTTTAAAGAACGGAAAATACATTACACATTATCCCGCCTGACAAACATTAGAGGGTGCTTTGGACTCTTGTCCGTGAGTACATCCGACGGACATTGACCCTCGAAGATTTACCAGTAGGTAGTTCTTAGGGTTTTAGTTTTAGTTAAAAACTCTTTTTTGGTAATTTAGGGGAAATACATTTTAAGCCTTAAACGTACTCAAGGCTGGATAGCCCTGGTTGAACTGAACCACTCTCCACATAGTAGTTTCGGAGCCTATGTAATACAAACAAATAATCAAATCTTTCCTTTTTATGATATTACTATGAACTGATATTTGGGATAAAAGCAAAATGATTAATATATTTTAAATATCCGAAAGTTTGTTTAGTGGAATTTATTGTAATTACACATAATTTCACTTTCACTTAGAATAAACTTTGCCCATTCAGTCAAAACCAAATTTCTATTGTCAGAATACTTCTGTTGCATAGTTGGTGAGTGGTCAGCCAGGTCGTGGTAGCGGCTTCAATGAACAAGCAGAAAGTTACCAGTTTGCAAATAAGTTCTGTCCTATAACGGCGCACTCGTTTCAAATTTGCGGTTACCTTTGAATTGTAAGCTGTTAAACGCTGGACTTGAAATTTACGAACTTAACAATAGAACTCGAATTATTCCAACTAAATTAAGCATTTGGACGAGTTGAATGAGTGGGGATTTCGGCATTCACTTTAGCAGACTGCTCAACTAAATTCCTGTAATGACCGTATTGCTTTGAGCATTGCCCGAATATTTCGTTGCGTGTTCCCCGCTGACCCTCGCTTAGTAATGTTTACTTAGTTTCGATACTGCTTAAGATAATGTTTTAACAATAATTGAATTCTTTGAATAGTTTAACTTGTAATATTTTTAAATGAAAACTCAACGGCAAAAAAAATATAGAAACGATTATGTTCATGTCATTTCAATTCCTCACATCAAAGAAAATGGAACTAAAAACATAGAAGTTTAAAATAACAAATGAATTTACACTGCCCTTAAGTTTTATTAAATGGGTAGTGTGCAGTTTAAGGACATCTGTCTAATGACCAAGGAAATATCATACTCGAGAGTCATCTTATGAAAATACAACAAAGTTTTTAAAGTAAATATTTGAATAGATGTGTAAATAATGGTCTTATTATAATGGTGTAAATAATGGTAGTAACTTGAATTTGAATTTATGAAAATTATAAGGAGGTAAAGTTTATAACTTTGCTTGTTTGTTTGTTCGGGGTTATCTTCATAAATATTTATTCGATCATGAAAATGCTTTCAATTTCGGATTGTTTATGTGTATCCGAAAGCTTCGGAAAGCTACATTAAATATGGATGCTATAAACTATATTTAATGCGGACGAAACAGCTAGTTTTTTATAAATATAGATTGGTTTTTAGTACTAGTAAAGGCCCAACGACAGCCTCATTACAATAATTATTGAACCGAACAACAATCGCACTGCTAAGTACACAAACGGAGTAGCTTAGCAACTCTCTAGACAAGAAATAAGTTGTCAAAGTGTCCGACTGAAGTTGCTTCTGTACCCGTCTCTGCTTTTAGGTGAACAGTCGGTTTCACAACTCAATATTGTGCCAACCCCACCGCCCTGAAATAATATGCCTAGAACCGATATTAAGGCTCAGCTGGGAATCTGAATGCAGTCTGCCAACCGTTACGCTGTACGCCTTAGCCAAATGTAACGTGAACGTCTTTTGTTAGTACCTATTTGGTATCGGATTCTGGAATACGGCTAAAGTCAGCGTGAACAAGATTGGGATTGTTGTAAATATTAAATAACATACTTAAAGATTACAATAGCACAAACCGATTTTAAAATGAAGATGGCTGTAAGTATAATTATTATTAAATCATAAGTAGGTAGGTATTTTATTCTTATAAAATTAAAAGAAGTACGTTTTCTTTGTCAAATAATTTTTTTGTATCAACTAAACTCTTTGGTCAGAAGTAGGAAATTCGATAGGTACTAATGTCACAGCCATATATTTGTTTGAAAAAACAATGCCAATTATATTGTTGCATCTAACACAATATGAAACACTTGCAGTAAAAAATCAAATGACATTTTTAACAGACATTAATATTTATGTTACTGATCGAATTCGTTTTCAAATATGCACCTTAATGCGTTAGATATAGTTGCTTAGTTTGCGTAGCAGAACAGTAACCTGCGTTATTTTTTCGGTTTTAAATCTTCGGTGACGTTGCCGGGGGCCAGCACGAAAGTTTGTGGGTCGACACCTTATCGGGGAACGTAAATCAGGTGGACGTTTAGGTCGAGATGTACAGAGGTATCCGAAAGTGATAACAGCTTGCTGCTCGTAGTAAACAAAGTCATTAAGATATTCTGTATTGAGACTTTTTAATGTAGAAATTATGGCGTTGTTGGTTCTTTTATTGACATCTGTATTCCAGTTGATGAAGGCATATCAGTGGCCTAATAAACATGACGTCAAATTTTTGTTTCTTTGTGCGCCAGGTAGATTGTTGAAAAATATTAAACACGTAATTTTTCTTTTCTAATTATTAAATTACGGGGATACATTGAGTTAAAATGTCGCATGACATCACGCTTTGGTACATTATCTACAAAACTGTGACGTAGCGAGCCCCCAGTCCTCAACTTTAATGCCTCTAATCTGCTATTTCTTGTTAAATTCATAATAAATCACGTCCATTTTTTACACACCGAGAGGTACTCAAACTAAAATTATAATGATTCTAATTTTTATTATTACTATTTGATTAATTGAAAATATATATGGATTTAAATATTTAATACTATCAAATGTTGTATACTTTATACTAAGACCGTATAATAAGAGAGTGAGAACTGGAGCCTGAGATTCAGATTTAGAATATAAACCTCATTCAGGCACAGAAGTCAATTGTAATATTGAGTTTGAAATCTCATGTTTCAATATTATGTGTAAATATTATTATTATTAAATCGAAATAAAAAAAATACCTATTTAATTTTTTTTTTATATCAGACTGACGGACTAATAAGAATTTCTATTTTTTATCCAGTCGTCATACCGATTGTCTAATTTAAAAATTGTGATAGACAAATTCGCTCTGAATTTGTCACTTTGTAATTGCAACCGCGACTTTTTTTTTAAATATTGAATGAACGCTAATATATTTGATGTTAATCTGAACTGTCAGCAAAGTGATAGTTTCAAATATCTCTGAAAGCTATTGGGAAATTTAAGAAATATCACAACCGCTATAAGTTTGAAAGGGAGTGTGATAGATTTTTTTTATGGGATAGGGGGCAGACGAACAGACGGATGATGGTAAGTGATTAGCGTCGCCCATGGATACAAATTAATATAGTTAGACCACAAATTCTAGGTTAGATTAATATACATTATAGCCTATCTTAATACCTTGTGATGTAGCTACCCGTAGGTGAAAGAATTTTTAAAATTGGTGAAGTAGTTTCGTAGCCTATTTGATGCAAACAAACAAACACACAAACAATCAAATCTTTCTTCTTTATAATATTAGTATAGATTGTTTTTGTGATCTAAAACAACGAAGGTACTGCGGAATTTTCGTTGTTTCAGATTTACCTTATATCACATATGCGTGTGCACACATCTGATGTTGATTCGTTGCGTATTATCAGTCGCAAAACGTCAGTATAGATTAATCCATATTTCCATGAGACGCTTGACGGATCTTCCGTCGAATATGTTTCGAATCTAAGAGGTATTGCTCTTGCAATTTTAACTAATATTTATTAAGTGTAGCATAAATAAGAGAACTTCTAAAACAGATAGAATAATGAATACCCTCCCTACCATTGTATTTCACAGGAACTTCAGGATGCTTGCAAAATGTGCAATATCTATCCCTTCTAATTCACAAGATATAGATTGCTTAGTTTCCCGTACACGACTTCCTCTAACTACAGCTTATGCAAGCAAACTAAATCAATATCGAAAGTCAATGAATCAAGAGTAATATATTCGGGTACATAATAAATGTGCGCTACCTGAAGGCAATATCTGAAAAATTTGCCTCCTCGATATTGCTTACAAGGGAGTTTCCTTTCTCCCCAAAATTTAATGCGTCGTTCGCATTTTTATAAAAAGAGTAGGTAAGTGAAATAATTTGCGGTCGATGCTTTATTTATTTTAATGGTAGGTCTCCTTTTGTTTTTTTTTTCTTTTACAAAAGAGCTTATAAGGAAAAAGACCTCCCGCAGAAAAATATGTTAAATTATACGTATCGTTATAAATGTCGAGATTTACAACAATGTGTAAGTGAAACAAATTGGATCTTTTCATCGTCCTAATGAAATGTAATTAGAGGACCATTTTTTTTTTTTTATTTCATCCACTTCTTTTCTTTGGGCGAAAGTAACTTTTTGATGCGTAGTCGTTAAAATGAAACTTTGGTTAAAATAATTCTGCTATAAAAACATTATCTTTTGTCATAATTTTACGGGCTAACTTTAAATTTTGGGGGCTCTTTCTTTTGCCGTTGGCAAGCAGATGTGATCAAATTGCAGCGGTGAGAAGAGGAATGGGCTATAGAAAGCTTGGAATTTGTACAACGTCCCTTTCCTATTTGTGAATAACTTTAGGGTTTTCTGATATGTGCCTCGACTGAATGGCAGTTTATATCATCGGCAGCTTACACCGGATTTGGACGGGCGCGTCTCCATTCACGCGCGTTACATTCGTTTCCACTAAAAATCTAAAATCAATAAAGGATCACGGCATAAATGCAAAGATTACGCTGTTCGATATTTCCGCAGCGTGAAAAATGTGCGCCAACATGAGCCTTCGAAATAAAACCTCGTATCACTATGAGACTGTAAGTAGCACCATAAAAGGAAGATCATTCATTGGAATCGTTCGGGCAAACACCTACAGACGAATGGAGCGGTGTTAAATGA